AATTAAATAGCTCCTTGTCGGACATCAGTGAGTGGTCCAAACTAAATGGTCTCATGCTGAATCCCTCAAAATGCCAGACTATTGACTTCTCCCTTAGGCATAAACGAGATCTACAAACACTAGTAAGTTCTCATGAAGCCTGTTGCATTGAGGGGACTAAAATTGAAACTAAGTCTAATGCTAAATACCTCGGTCTAGTTCTGTCTTCCGAACTTACTTGGACACCTCATATCCTAACGATTTCTAAGAAAGTGTTCCGTCTAACATACTACATTAAGAAACTTAGACAATCTGGAATCACCCAACCTCTACTTTCACAATTTGTCAACTCTTGTATCTTACCTATTCTACTTTACTGCTCCCCGTTAGTCTTTCCTGGTCTACTGAAAAAGGACTGTACCATCCTGAGAAGGATGTTGAAGGTAGTCAGTAGGACTAGTGGTGTAAAACTCAGTCAGCTCGTCACTACATTAGTTGATAGGCATCTGAATACATGCGAAAAGTGGTCAAAAACCATACTCTCCGACCCCCAACACCCCCTCTATTCCCAACTCTCGCCTTGTATCTCATCAAGTAAAACCAGAAATCAGTATAAAATAATCTATGCTCGTACAACCAAGTACAGGAACTCAGCGATACCATACTTGGTCCGTGTTCTAAGCGACAGAGACAATGTTAAGCGTGAAACCTATGACTTGCTTTGTTATTAACAACATAATTTTAGGCTCTTTTATTTCTCTCTTATTTTGTATTCTATAGTGAACTCCTTCTCAAACATACTTAGCTACCTAAATTATTAACATTGGCTTCCTTTTTTGTACTTTACTATATTCCTTCTATTGTGTATCCATTGGTTCCGACTCTATTAGCACTATGAGTATTACAAAATTGTCCTGTCATTAACCATCATGTAATTATTAGTTTTGTAGTTGCTTTTTCTTGTTTTCCATACTTTTCGGCAATATTAAACTGACAATCATTGGTTGTGAACGCCATTGTCACCACCTTAAAAATTTTGTATTATTCAGGATTACTCACACTACCACTACAAACACTGCATTAGACCTAACAATAAAAAACAAACCAACAACCCTGAAATGTTATTTTATGATTGTTTAGAGTTGTTTCAACCAAATTAACTGACCATCTTGGCGATAAACATTCTTAAATATCATTTCATAAATTCTTGTATGACTATAGCGTTACTGTCACCATGCATAATCATAACACAGCTTCCACTACCCAATACTGAGTTATTATTACATGCTATTTATTTTCCTTTCTACTTCTTGGTATTTTTTCGCATTTATAATTATTTTTGTGTTTTTCCTGCTTTTTGGTGTTGGTGTCTTTAGATTTATTTTTTTTAAATACTCCTTTTAAATGTTTGTAAAATTAGATGCAAATATTGTAGATATGTGCTGAAAATTCCACACTGTACCACTAGTACTGTTTCTGGAATAAAGCAAATTATTATTAATATTAAAAGAAGTATGTTCAGCTACTGAGCACTCACTAAATGAGTCAGTTTCTTCTACCTCCTTTCATACTTCTTTACAGTTAGTGCAATTGAAGTGAACTATTCCCAACAAGTAAGTCATATGTTATTATTCATTGGCAAATAACAGTTGCTAATCATATATCACTCAGTCCATGTTTCATACAAAAGATGTCTCTGAAAACTGTTTCATGAAATTAGCTTCTACCGAAACGAGCAGAAACGATCAAATAACTTTCATAATCACACTTAATCACAGACGTAAGTTTAACCACTTCCAATATTTCTGTAAATATATATATATATGGACTGATCTCACTGAACATACAGCAAGCAATCGTCCAGTTTACTAGAGACCTCTTTAAAACCAATGTTAAGCCGCTTCACAGACCTCCGGTTCATTGACGAAACCAATCAGCATTAGAAGTATGCTGACTGATCAATCAATCTGGTTTGATAAATTGCTGAACTGTTCACATTTTCCAAATACTAGTTACCTTGTTTGTTGCCCTTCTATCTCAGACCAGTTCTCTTCTGTCTAACAACACACCTGTCAGATAACTTGCTGAGTACGAATTTGCAACACTAGTGGACCATGGGGAATGGCAGCTCCATAAATTTAAGATCATGGTTAATTTTGTTGTCTATTTTTTAACTGTTGATTTGAAGTGGAGTGAAATACATTTGGGTTTTTACGAGTTGATCACGGATTGATATCAGTTAGAGAACCATTGAAAACCAGAGAGTTCTGGACAGCTGCTGTTTCATCCTAGTGAATTCTAACTTCTACCAATTCATGAGCCATTGAATCGCTTCCCCAGTGGCTGAATGGTATACGAGCTTGCCTTGTAACCGGAAGGTCCTGGGTTCGAATCCCAGTGGGTGCGTACTGCCGATGACTCCCAAACTAGGATGAAACAGCAGCTGTCCAGTACTCCCTGGTTTTCAATGGTTCTCTAACTGATATCAATCCGTGATCAACTCGTAAAAACATTACAAACCCTTACAAACCAAACTTTAGAAAACATTTGGGTTTGTTTTAAAGTAGCCAGCTAACTCAACTAAAAAGGGTATTCACATATTATTGGTGAGTTTATCATATCCCTATGTATTCTTAGTGATAATTATAAGTGTTACAATATACGGACGAGTGATCAATACTTGTCATTTTCTGTGTGATTAAGAAAAATGTTGTTAGTTTTATTTCATCTAATGAATTTTTTCAGTCATATAAGAAAGCATAGATTGTGCGCAAACTGTTTTAGTCGAAGTGTAGTATCCTCACTTTACTTAATCATGAGTAATTCCCGAAAACAGATATGGTGTTAAATTACTTTTGAAAACATGATTTGTGTCTTAGTTAATGAACATTAATAACAACAATAGTAATAATAATAATAATTAGTGATACTAATTTTTATTGATTTACACCAATAGGAGAATAGTCCAGTTGCAAATTTGGGAGATGAAGAAAATCAACACTTTATCAACAGTAATGAATGTGGTTATGAGCGTAATAGTATGATGAAAGACCGTACAGGTGATCAAACAGCTACAGGCAAGCAAACTTATTTGAAGAACACTATTCAGCCAGAAGAGAATGAGGACGACGATTTCTAATATAAATTTACTCATAATTTGCTGGTCTATTTTCAGTATTTTCTAAGATAAAAGTTATCAAAATTTATCATTATTTAATATTTTCTATAGTTTGATTTGTAAGGATTAGTTATGTTTTACGAGTTGATCACGGACTGATATCAGTTATTATTCCCTTGAGTTCCGAGTGGAACATATGGCTTCAACAACACATCCTCAATTTCTTCTATATTCTATCGTCCTTTTCAGTTGGGTCCACGATTGCCAGTATCCTCTCAACTCCTCACATGACCTCCTCCATGCCACTTCAGGACGACCCACTCGTCACTTACCATTCTGATTCCACTCGACTGATGGCCTGCACTGCGCGCGATGTCATTCGACGGCCTCCTCAATGCATGCCCGACCATTTCCTCCAATGCCATACATGGAAAATAGACATGAGAACATCAATTTTTAAAAGATACTTAAGTGACTGTCAAGAGATCAGTGACAGACTACTTTCTAATTCATCCCAGTTTTCGACTTGAGAACAAATTTAACTCTTTCGCCTGACTTTACATAAAGGCGAGACAGGCACCACTTAATTTCAGGTAACCTTCTACCAAACAAAATAACTTACAGGGGTCTTTTGAGTTTCGTCACTTGATGTTGTGATGCATTGGCCTGGTCATTATTCAGACTTTCAAATCTGAGCATCATCTGAGTTCAAACGTATTCATCATTACAACCCCAGCACTTGAGTGTGACTTCCTCATTTCTAAACTCTATGGGTTTCGTATATTTTACAAGTCACCATGATATTATACATGATTACTTTTGTAATATTTGTAGTATAGCCGATTAAGTTTTCTGCCGTAGTCATAGAAATATACCAAAAACCATCTTATAAATGTTCAAACGTGTTACATACTAATTTCGTGTTTCGAACTATCATGGTGACTGGAGAACTTTTGAAATTGTGAAGTATGCTATTTTTTTAAAATTTCCTGATCACTAGCTCTTAACAGGTTTTTCTCAGCTGAGAAATCGATGAAGTGCATCTATAAGTCATCTATAAGGTGAATGATAACCTGCCAAAATCATCACCTATCTGTTTCATGTGTATTGCTGAGGCTGCTTTACTGTTGAAATGGAGAAGTCTTAGTTCATGGTTAACCTATTATAGTCTTCATTTTACATTGAGCCTATTTGCTCTTCTTTTTGTTTATTTAATCTGTATATCCATGTTTCATCAGCCTTGTTAGCTCTGTTAGCTTTATTATTTTCATTTTAAACAACTTCTGGTATTATCTCATTTGTCATTCTTTATTCGTTTAGTCCAGCATAAATTTTGTCATGTTATGTCTACAAAATTTCCACATTGTTACGTAGTTTTAATTGCTTACTAGTCATGTTAGTTCGATTCCCCTTGAAGAGTTTCGTAATTTACGTAGGCACCTTGAGAAGAGCCTCTTCGATGTTGCACATTCTTCGAATATTCTTTATGTTATGACAGTGACATTTGACAGGTAACTGATAACTGTTTTACTGTAATCTCTTTAGGCGGTGCTACTGTATAGGTGACGGAATACAGTGTCTAGAAATCGTTAACTAGAATAAGAAGTTTATTAGTTACCCCTCAGTTTGCCCTTATTCTTCAACTCATTTCGAAATTAGTCACACAATGCGAAGTAAACATGTATTTTCCTGGCATATCAATTTGTTAAAATGACTGAAGTGAGCACTTTCGGTATTCTTGAAGGTTTATTTCTGTAAAAGAAGAAACTTGTCGCCTCGTATTATACACTGGTAATCACAATGTGTTGTTTTAAGCAATAAATTTCATTGTCACACTTACAAAAGAACGGTCATAAAGAAAAGGTAATATTTTTGAGTGTCCAAAATCGTTATATTGAATGAACTACTCTAATTCTAATCTGCATAGCGTTCTGATCACATGTATGTAATCGTTTGTATTTGATGGAATTTGTTCCACATCATTACTGCTACAGGCATTTGTTGGGTACATCCCATCCAGAATAATCCCCGAATCCATGCTTGTTCGATTTTTGCATACTTCCGCATCCAGGGAACTAGAGGGAGTCTGAATAGGTTGGATGCTCTGAGTACTCGATGGATTCTGAGTTAGACATATTTTCGGGCTTTTCAAAGAAGTAGGGAAGTATATTTTGCTTCTATCCCATGGCCATGTAGTACTTATCCATGCAATAAAATCAGTCAATAACATGTTGTAGGCATTGTTTGACTTCTCTTTCGTTACATATCTGATATTTTCAAATAAAACTGGAACCAACATGTTGTTCCATAGGTCAAGAAACCAATGCAATGAATCATTAATATCCATGGGGCATTTCAGTGTGGACTGCACGCCAAAAATGGCACAGTGTTTTCTGTTAGCTATAGAACACAGGATTTCATTTAATTTCCTCCAAAACTCAGTTAACCAGAAAATCAATTGATAACACTTCCGATCTTTATTTGCACTGGCATTAACATCTTCGTTAATAAGTCCACCTGAACAAAACATTCGACTTTGAGCAAGACTTCTGTATAATACTCTTTCCAAATATTCTTGTGTACTTTTTATGTCAGGCAGGTGGTGTATGATCCTATTATTTGTAAAGAGGTAAAAGACAAGTCGAAATGTCAGTTAGTTTTCACAAAATGTGTTGCTAAAAATGCTACCCATTATTATCAATAAATGAAATGCATTGTCTTTATGTCAAACGAAATAATATGAACGTAAGAAAATCAGATTTCTCGGTAAAGCGATTAGTTAGTTTACTATGAGTCGATAAAAAATTGGAGATTGAAGCGTCAGTTTCCGAAAATCCTGAGAACGTTCCAAGATACGTAACAGAAATGTGTCAATCTCTTTTCACTGTATTGTGAAGAGTGATAGCTGAGAATGTCATGAATGCCTTGAAACTAACCAACTAAAATTTCAGATTCTTTTCAGCAGTCACTTTCCTTTTAGACTTAACATTTTATCTAGTGATTCATATAAAAATTCTGTTTTCACAATAATTAGCGATTTACTAAAATATTGTGCGATCATAGAGGAAAGTGTTATGATCCGTGCTCTAAATTGTTTTCACATAGAAAGGGACTGAGATTAGGACATATGGACATTGACTAGACTAACATGATTACCCTTCGGATTAATCACACGGTTTCCCATCAGGTGAACTACGTGTTCCACATAACAACACATATGCCTCCTGAGCTTAATAGCAGGAGGAAGGTGGTCCAGTGATTGAGATCCACTCATTTTACAGGTCCGCTTGGTATTACCTGAAGACGCTGAAAGCACAGTGATGTAGGTGTAACTACGCAAACACTCATTTAAGTGAGAATCCAAGTTAATTTTTAATCTTGTATGTTCAATTAGTGTAGAAATACTCCGTATTTCATTAGCCATTTCAAACTAACCATAGCACACACTGCTCTGGATATTTTACTGTAGTAAATAAGTGTAATCAGCGACAAAATTCTCTGTAGACCTTAGTCACCACTTGAGCAGAAATAGTATGTCATTATTTACTCTACTGGATATATTTAGTTCATTTATCATTGGTGCTACTCATTCAGTTTGCAGATTGAAACACATTGGGATTTCAGATAAAGGTGTTTACACGATGGCTAGCTATGATGATAAAGTGAACGATCAGAAATCAACTGACTGACTTCACCAGCTTAAATTCCTCATTAAACAGCAGTTAGTGTAGATTAAATTACCAAATTTTGTGTGACATTTAAGATTCCATCTATTGGAATAACATGTACACTTGCAAAACAAACTGGACTTTATTAAACAATTCAAATAAACAACTCCATCAACAAACAGTTGCATTAACTTAGGAATTAAGCGTACTTACTTTACATGATTGTCATGGCAAGTGTTCTCAAAATCTTTGTCCGCCCTTTCACTTGTACCTATAATCTTTGGACTGAATTGTAAAAAACAAAATGTTTAATTTCAAGTTGAATATTCATAATGTTACGCTGTCAAAAAATTAACCTTAGACAAACCACTGCCCTAAAGAACCTTGTTATGAGTAATTTTTCTATGACAAGATTAATAAACACTCGTGAAATCTTAATGTGACATATTAATTGAACTTCATTCATATCAAACAGTTTTGTATTCACTATTACACTACGAATCTCCATCAGTGCATGAAACAACTTTTTATGATGTCATGTGATAAGTATTAAAAGTTGTACGCACCTTTGGAGAGACAACAGACAGAATATCCGAAATCCAAAACTCAAATATTTGTTCTTATTCTCATGTTTCTACTGAGAAATGTCTGTTTGAGGTGATAGTTTAGGTCGAAATTGGTGAACATTTCTTTGGTTTGACTGGCCACTCAAGCTTTAAGGAGTGTATTCATTATAACATAGAAATCATCTAGATAATCAAACCAGTTGAAAAGGGAAACAAAAAGATTTGATGAAATTTGTATACCTAGTAGAATTCTTGGTTCTACACCCGTGAAATGTTCATTTGCTTCCCCCGCCCCCACATATTGAATAAAATTTAGTGGAATTTTATGTCAACTAGACCCTGTGGGGTACAATTATTGGAATGCACTTGAATCTGACAGACACCTGGCATACTAACATACTGGACGATACTCATGCCATGCTGATGTCATGCAGCTAGATGATTAAAGATGGTTCCTAGAGAGTGAGTGGAAAGTGAAGTATTCATTTTGAATACAGATGAGTAGAGATCGACATTATGTGTGCTTATAAGGTATAAGTCTGTTACACACTGTCAATAGGTTGCTTAAATCTCTGCAGATGACAGCGTTTTTTAACTTTGTTTCCTAACTGTATACTCAAATATGTCTAGATAGTCTGATACTCTTTTACTTCTTAAAAACCAACTTTTCACTGATACACCATGCATGATTTAGGTAACTAAAGATAAAGAATGACTGAGCTGTGATGTCTAACACTTGACTGGAAATTTAAAAAAAATACTGCAGCTTTATATGATTCTTATACGAAGGTTTGTGCAGTTTTCTGATTATTACTGGCATTCCACAGCAAGCCTGAATGAAAATTAAATGTCAGATAATCAAGTGTAAACTGACATTTTCATATATACATATATTTATATATATGTAATTTCTCAACTTATGCAGTGAATCAGAGCCGTAAATTAAATGGAGTGAAAATACGTATTGAAAAGTTGTACAGTGGTTGTGTATTTGTTTGGCAAAGTTAATCAGTTATAAAGTAACATTAATGTTCATTTCAACGAAGTAAGTGATTCACTAACTCTGCAAATACACATTTCAAGTTAGAATAATGAACGCTTAAACATTTTTAAGGATGGTCTTTCACTGACTGATGTGAATTCGACAAATGTTTGTCACTAACTTCAGACTCTTTCCCAGTGTCCATCCTCATCGTCACTTGGGAATTACTCCATCATGTTTAGACTACAAGGTATGCACTTTACCAATCAGTAAGTGGGTAGAAATTCAACGGTCCATGAATGACAGACTCCACTAAGTAGTGTGTGTGTGTGTTTGTGTTTGTTGATAGTGGTCGATCACAGATTGGTGGTAGCGTTATACTGCTAACTACAAGAATTCAGAATTCGTGGGTCATTGAATTATAACCCAGTGACTGAATGGTAACATGCTTGACTCATAACCTAAGCGTGCTTGGTGTGAACAATGATGCCGTTATGGGTGTACATTGATGAAATTAAATCCTCAAAATCACAACATTACATTTCCAGCTGAAATTTCAAAATAAGTGAATATTTCCCAGTCATTTCAGCCATTGTGTTGTCAGTTGTTTGTCTTTCTACGTGCTAAATTAATAGACTTAGAATTCACGTGGAAAATCGCCTTTTTTAAGAGACTGATAGTCAGTGTATAAACCAAATTAATTTGTAGCAATTAGGGAATAGCTGTTTGATTTAGCAGGTAAGTTTATTTATACATTCTCTATCTCTTTGCTGTTGTAACATTAGAAATGCAGAGAGGAAGTATCACTTAGAAAATTTTATTTGCAAAGTACTGGTGAAAATATCCCGCATTCTTTGTCGCGCTACAAGTATCATATTTAGGACGACAACTGAGTCATGAACTCCAATTCAATCACTACAGAGGAAGTTCAATGGCTATTTACCTAAACCTCATTCAGAGAGAAGCAGATATTTCGTCTACGAGATCGTCAGTCACATTTATTACCTAGGAACATAAAATATCATGGTTAGTCTACACATATACAACCCATCCTAGATATCATCTTTAACTTGGAACATGACGCTATACCTAGTTGATAGGCTAACGCTCAAGTGAAAGCATATGCTGTCTTAGATTGCATGGAGGTTAAACTGAGAAGACGAAGAAATTTGTTGTTGCTTTGATCTGTTTCTCCTAAAGACCAATCATAACAGCAAAATTTGACTGTTTGACACTTGAGGAATACAATCGTGACTAAGTAATACTGACAGAAATAACTAATCTCCTTCTGAACCATGGACGTAAAGTATTTCCTTTTTATACGTGGCTTATTTTTCATACATGTATCGTTGCGACATTCGATTGTCGATGTTGAAGTTTTCGTCGTGTTGTATGTATGGTTCTGGAGTGACCTACCTCAGATATTATGATGACCGATAATCTAAATTTATGCATAACTATATAAAGTCCGGCAGTAATGATTCCTTGAGTCTTTACACAGGTCTCACGAAGATTGGTATCTCGATATGCACAAAACGTGCTCCTATTATCCCTTCATCCTAAGTTACATGAAAATGAAGTTAATTAACCTGATAAAGACACTGATTGGTGAGTTTCTTCAGTCTATCTTACACAAATATATGTAACATGGCTTACCGTTTTGATGAGGTATTAAAAACATTAAAAATATCCACAACAGATCCTTGGAAGAGATGCATATCAAATAAGTTTATCACTTTGGGGAAACCACATTTCGAAAAGGATGATAACTGTTTTCTGAGTATCTTTTTCATTTCTTTTACAGTTGGACTTTTGTTATTTGTAAACCGGAAGTTGTATATTGCCTTTGAATAACACGAACTAGAAAGGGATTAACACAACAGAAATCGGTGAGTATTTAAATAGTCTAAAACAAAAGGATAGATAAAGCATTACTTCCAAGACACTGGTGATGTCAAGGGTCGCAGATGTCTTAGCACTGTGATGTAGTTCATGAATTATGTAATGCACATTTATAAACATGCAGAAATAGTTTGACTTAACACTTTTATGCTTATCCACAGGTCATAACATTTACTTCACCATATACATAAGAAGGAAGGCCTAATATTTATATTTTTAAACCCACCACACTTTTTCAACATTTCGTCCATTCGAGTTGTGTTGAGATGCTTACAGTGAGGTGATAGATATTAATGTTTTCAAAAACAACGGGAATGTTTATCTTCAGCGAGTAGAATCGTTTTTCGAATTCTTATTTTACAAAAGATGATAGTTCTTTCTTACACAAAGTGAGCTATTATATTTAAAGTATCGAGTAAATGAACGAGGTGGATCAGATGACAAAGAAAGTTGTGATGATGACTAAAATTATCGAGTACGGTTTAATCATTTCGTGTTTTGCAAGTTCAAGCCATTCTACTCAGTAGGCATGTAATTTTTTTCTGAGTTATATGCTATCCCACATTTTTGCTTATTTGGGATCTATCTTATTAATTCCCTTTTTTTGATAATCATACTTTCTCTCTATTTAAATAAGTTTTGGACGCAGAAAGTGTTGTTTAAACCAAAATAAAACTTCATGAACTGAAATTCTTCTGGTCTAAGCTCCTGTCATTGTCTTAACCGACAATTAACAGTGGGAGGACAAAAAGCTTTTTGTTGATGATAGTTTGTCAACTCGTTACGGCCATAAGAATGATTCCGTGCACATAGATTTCGTGTTGAGATTAAAGGTGCTGATTGTTATTCCATCACAGATATAGAAATGATTAATTTACTTAGTAAGTCTTGCTTGCACCTTGTGTGGAGTAGAAATAATTAGGCGTATTCAGATATTTTTTTGGTTGAAAACAGAAAACTACGGTGGAAGAAATAATAAGGACAAGCCTGTACAATAAACGAAGTTTCCAGCTACTCACTTTCAGTGAAGAAGTTTGAAAGGGAATTACCAATAACCAAGAGAGAATTAAAAGTGAGCATGTATTTCGATAATGTAAACTGAATTATGAACTTATGCTTAGATAAAAGAGTAAATCTTATTGTTAGTTAAAAATGTATAAAGATTTATTCGGAATGAGACCAATTAACTGGCCCAGTAAAATATACAGGGTGGGACCACAGTAGTTTACAATCGATTAGTTCGAATTCTGCGGCGACCAAGATTTCCATTTCACCTTTAATGTTCATCCATCAAATCGTTCGTAGTCTGTCGATCCCAGATAGTCTCATTATTAAATATGAAAGAGACTGTTAAATAAAGTCAGTTAATTGAAAACTTCGTCCCAATATATACTGATAGGATTCTTTGTGTGTTATCAACAATCTGACACACTGATATAGATGTGATTTGTAATCAAAATTACTTCTGTTGTAATTGCTAATTGCTTTATTTTCGATTTCTTTATTGTTTAGTTTCTGATGTAGACATTTTTATTTAGTCTGTGACATTATAATCTACACAAATGTACATTTAAATATACTTTCAAATCTTCAAGTTAAGATATTTTAAAGTACGGTCATTGAAAATCTACGACTAACTAAATTGCAACTAGCAAATGTGTTCAAAAAATGACGCTGAATGACTAATTCAACTGAAATTTCACAATGTTCATCACAGTTATCATAAAACTGATGACAAAATGTTACTTATTACTAGTGCTACTTTTTAAGTAAAAGCTGTAAACGTTACTTAATATGGTTGTCTTAAAAGTTAATATTCACTTTGAAGCTAAAATCAGGGTGATTCATCTTTTATATTTTTGACAAAAAATGTGTTTTTGTGGTACATTTTTCAGCAGGACAAAGATTTTTCTGGTTAGCCATGATAGTATGAAGATTTAAACTAGTTAGGCGAGATAAAAACAATTTGAAAATAATAATAATATTATCAATGAATCATATACCACGGTATTATTGAACAAAAACCCTGGTTGAAACTGCATTGTATAACATTTCCAGCAACTTTGGTTGACGGATGTTTATCGGTATACTGGTAAAACATAGACTAGCAACTTATGAATCAGCCATAGACTAATGGGACCGATCAGTTAAGCAGGTCTTAATACTACATTCCAAATTTAGATCCTTGTCAACGATCTTGTATTATCGTATTCGGCTCTATGGTGTAGTCAACTATCAGGTGATGGAAGTTGAGTTGACTTTTGTTCAGCCGCTATATTTAAGTGTTTAACCGACAGGTTCTTCAGTCGATATTGCAAATACCTGGGGATTTCTTCATTCGACAGATTCGCCTCTGAATGAACTATCATGCTTAGGTTTATCCTGTCAAAAATAACACACTTCGACAACTGGTGATCATCTAAGGCTTGGTGCTGTTAATACTGAAATGACTTCATTAGATTTTACCTTTTTATTATCAGTACGAGTAGAAGTTTTGGTGGTCGCCTGGACACCATTATTTTCCGTATAATTCATGGAAAAATAATACAAAACTTCATGCAAAATAATCTCAATTCATGAAGTTCACTTACTCATGTGATAAAATTTTGGCCAGATTATTCACCAGATGCGATTTCCCGGTTCCAGTCAGTCCACAGATTATAATGAAATTATTTGCTTCGATGACAGATAAGTAGGACTTCAGTGTATTATATGGTACTAGACTTGTATAACATCCATAGTTCAGCATGTCAATTTTCTCAGTAACATTTTGGTGTACCTTTTTATTCTTTCTTTTCAATGTTGAGTTCATAGTACGACCTTGTAAATCTATTTCTACAGATAAGGTGAATAGCTCCAAATCATACCCCTTAGTAATTTCATCCAACCACATAACGGGGAACTGTGAATAAATTTGTCTGTTTATATGACAGCTAGTTTCCAGCGTAGCTGCAACAGGCAGTTGGGAATGATTCTGATTTGTTGTAAATAACGGTTGTGGCGATGGTAGTGGTAGTATTCGTGAGAAACGTCGCACAATGCTCTCTGTTTTCTTTATATCTGGATATTTGTAAATTGAATTTAGCTGATACGCCCCTAGTTCCAGTGAATTAAGTTGCAGATGTTCATCAGGATCCAAGTAACTGATGTAACACTATATGGAAATAAAGACAATAATTTGAAGGGCTAATGCTTAACAGAGTTAAAAATAATATGAATACTTGAAATTCTGGATGACTTTAGAGGCGGTAGTCAAGAGTGAATTTGCATCTAACTGTAAGTGAAATGCTTCATCCAGAACTGAACAGCTCGTTAACAGTGTTTCTAGAATATGTAAAACAACTGAGAATCAGAAAACCGTGACAGTTACTGTATCCTATTCTACAGTGTTAAACAGTGAAGAATAGGAAACCGCACATTGAGAACCTTACTACTCGGGAATAGATTTGATGTACATCGATTAATTGTTGATAAACACATAGACTTAATACTCTTCATGATATTGAAGTAGACCCGGTCACTAACACAAATCAGTCTCAGAAAAGTGTTAACCGTTGGTCAGTGGGCAGCTGTTCGTCAGTAAGTAAGTCAAAATCTAGTAACTGATATATTTCTTTGATTGCTATCAATCCGTGGTACTCTACAACCTTAGTTTAATATCATCGGTAAGTAGTTGTTTTCACAAGTTGTATATGAGGTTATGCAATAAGTGCATAACAAATAAATAATAGCAATTTTGACATGATACTACAAGGCAATAGGAGAAGACCAAACAGAAATAAGACAAACTAAGCAACCAGGCGGATGAAGATAGTGTAGAATGCATGTGATCTCTGGTAAAACCAATTTACAGCAACAATTACAAGGATAGTAAAGTTTCTTTTGCATCTGTCAATGAATGAAATATCCAGCATTACCGAGACTCTCAAACAAAATAACTACCCAAAGAACATCAACTAAATCAACACTCACATTAAGTATGGTCGCAAAAGTATTCCGAAAATATGGGCCTCAACAGCTGTCACTCCACATAGAGCGGAGACGATAGACGATGTCAGAAGAGTAATCAATAAGTACGACATCAGAATTTTCTTCAAAACATCAGACACACTTCAAAGCAACCTTGTCCACATAAAAGACCGAATTCCTAAAGATTCTGTATCTAATTGTGTCTATAAAATAAAATGCTTGGAGTGTGATGCAATATACATCGGACAAACACCTTGAGATATCAAAATCAGAAGAGATGAACATCGTAGAGCATCTGTTCGACCACAAAAATCCAGTTGAACTAGAAAAACCCGAAAAATTATCAGCCATAGGTATACATGCTATCGAATCAGGCCAAAAATTTTATTCTGACAATATTGAAATAACCCAGAAAAATTTCAGAAATCACAAAGAACGTTTAATATCAAGTGGAATCCAAATTTTCTGAATAGGAATGGTGGACTAAAACAGAATTTGACCTGGTGACAACATCCCTTCCCCTAAGAATCTGATAAGCGATTTCATTATGTAAACACACGCTGCTTTTATAATTTGATGCACTCATCATCAAATCCAACAATCTACACCTGGTTTTGTTATCTTTACCAATTGGCCAATTCGACAAAGAAAAGTGACCCCATACTGAGGAACGGTGATTTAGTTGTTATATATATGATGAAATTTTGTAAATTCCGATTTAATAATACTTCGATAAAGCTATTAGCAACATTAAATAGCGAGACGTTAGTAAAAACAACAGTATCGTTTTGTTTTTCATTCCTTGAGAAATACAAAAAACCTTTATTATGATCAATATCATATGCCCATTACCCAAATTTTTTCAAACTGTTGAAAGTGAACTTATTTTGGCCATATATAAATCACAAGGATATGTAGATGCTACACAGAAAAGTGGTAATTCAATAGGTAACTTAGACCACCATTTTGATATTTGATAGGATTAGCATCACTTCCTGTTCTACACTCACCCAGTTCACTTCGATTATCATTTTTTTACATAGGTCTTTTTTACAATTCAATGATCAAGAAAGTGCAGTCGGCTTATTCCGACACTTATGACTTTTTTGAATGAAGCCTTTCGGTAAGAAAACGCCTCCATGCATGTTTGAATTGTCATAGTTATATCTTTCTAGTCAGCGGTGATCGGCAAGCATACCATTAGGACTAACCAAAAGCGTTTATTATTATTATCATCATCCAATACTGTTGGCATATAAACAATTAGAATGAATGTTGCTTATAAGCCTCATATCACAATTTTATTAAACAATTAGTAAGTCAAATTATATAGATATGTATATATATTCCAGCATATTTGGTTATTAAATAAAAATAAAAATGAATAAACACTAACCACGGAAAACTACACATGTACACATTTAACTGTATAATGGATGCACCGTTCATGTATTATCTAAAAAGTAGTTCAATTTTCTTATTCATAAAGTTGGGAGGTATTCTTTATTGTGTGTGTGTGTGTGTATTTCTCTTGATTCCAATACCACTACTACGTTTAGTTTATACAGTAGAAGGTGGAACAGGGGCAGCAGGTACTGGTTTGTTTTAATTACTGATAACAAAAACACAGTAGATTATTTCCAATTTCACTGATAACTAACTATGTAGTTCGCATAACTGGAGTAATAAACTAAATAAACTTTAGTATACTAACACCAAGTCTTTCAGAGATTAGAATTCACTGTCCTCTCGAAAATAAGTAGGCATACATGTTGTGTCAGTGCGCTTTATTTGTCATTGAGTGTGACTGATGTTCGCTGTTGGTGGTGGTGATCGGTTATCTTCATCACCTCTTTCTTCTCAGTTTTCACTTGAAGTACTGTCTTCTGTGCCTCTTCTACTATCTTGTTGGTTTTCGTTTGTGGATATTCGAGTTTATTAGGCACAAAACATAGGTCCCCTGTTAAATCCAGATATTCCAGGCTCTCGTTATCTGTTCAACATGATTCCATCTAATCACTCCCCACAGTGTGCTGAATGATGCAGTCCACCAAAATCATGAGTATTATCATTGATGGTAGGCAGCCTTCTATTTCTTATGCCATGAGATCCAATGCCTCGGTGAGCTTTCTGTTGTGAATTACATGGAATGTGGAATCATCATATAGCTGTTGGATGGAGTTTATAAATGTTTGTGGCACTGCACTCCATGGTCATGGAGAAGCTGTCAAATTACTTCACAATCTATGCTGTCGAAGGACTTTTCAAAGTCGGTGAAGTTGAAGTACATAATTAACTGTCATTTTAAACTCTGCTCGATGATGATATGTAATGCTGCGATTTCATTTATTTCTCCTAAATCCAACCATTTCTGAGCGAATTTTTCAATCAACGGCCTCGTTAGGACACTAGAGCTCACTCAATTTTGAGAATGTACTCACTGCTATTGACACTTTGATTTCTTATTGCACACATTTATAACCAATACTTACTTGTATTAGTGCACACTAATGACTAGAATAACTTTCACTTGCTTCCATAAACCTACAGTCACTAAAGTGAGGAGAACACCTTGTGTCATACTGTGCTCAAATAATAACAGCAGAACAGATTTTTCTCCATCTCTATTCTGGTTTCAGTAGACAAAGAGAAGTAATAAAAGCTTCACTAATTTTATTGCCTTTCCAATTTATTTCTTCAAAGTCTTGTTCACTTTTGACCATGCTTTTATGTTCAGTGGTTATTTAGACGTTTTCTCGTGAAGATGCATTACTGGCCGAATAGACTTAGCATGACCTTCTTCTAACTTTCGATGGACGAATACAAAAACAGTGTAATGACTACTTGAATTCACACAGATACGCGGTGCCAAATGCTTGACGGTGTTATAGAAAGTTCTGAATTACAGAAAATAGAAAGAAGTATGAGTCATAATAAAGGCACTAACAGTCGCATATACCCACCTGAAGTAGTTTTTGCAGTACTTCATCCAGCTCATTCCAAGTCATATCATCGTGTAATCCAATGCATCCTATTTTCAGTGATTTTTTCGTTTCTGAATCAATAATGATTTCTTCAGTGTTCACAAGGACTGGCACAAAATAACGACTATTTTTGCAAAATTTAGACGACAAATCTAGTTAATGTATCATGAAAGATAAAGAAATAACTCGGATTATTAAGTATTAATTACGGGGTGAATTAGCTTTATTGGACGAATATGGACGTTTGTATCAATGGACAACTGAGTATAATAAAACTGGTTATAGATCACTTTCTGTCTTCTTGTACATTCAACGGATTAAAACAACGACGATGATGACTGTAAAGTGACCGAAATAGCTCTAGTTGTGTATTAATATACTAAGTCATTCAGGCGTTGAGAAAGAAGTATTACCGATATATCCATCAATGAGAATGTCAATCAATAAAAATGAAATTTGCACTTACATTAAGCATGCAGCTAGGCTTGCATGTAGAATTTATTTATTTATTTATTTATTTTGGAGTATCTGCTTAAAAATGAGCATTTTTGTTTAGATTGATCTATCGCCTAAGCAATAAATGTGAGTTCGAATTAGTAAAATGCTGTAAAAAGAATTTTCTGAGTTGACTTCTCGTGAAATGATGCTTTCGATGGGACTTAATCTTCAACTTTAGTTCCACTTGACATCAATTTCAAACGAGACTTGTGGTATTTGAAGGGATTCGTGTATTTTATATTGGCATTATCAAATCTGATTGTATATTACAAGTGATATTCGTATTCAAATACTCATCTTTTGAGTGTGTGGAATAAGACAACATTCATAGTTTCTTAAAATTCTGTGTGAAGCTTAAACTGCAAATAATGGTGATAGAATTTGAGATAAGAACATTCGTTCAATAGAAAACAAATTGTAGACGAGAGTTTTAATAGCCAGCCTACTTAATTATTTACATTTCATTTTCCAAAATATATTGGAGTGTCCATGTGATGTTGTCATAATGTATGTGCATAATTTAGCTTGAATTCTTTTGATAATTTATGCTCTCAAAACCCTATCCTTTCCTCATCAACAAATCTTAATCAAACACTAACTAACTAACTAACTAACTAACTAACTAACTAACTAACTAACTAACTAACTAACTAACTAACTAACTAACTAACTAACTAACTAACTAACTAACTAACTAACTAACTAACTAACTAACTAACTAACTAACTAACTAACTAACTAACTAACTAACTAACTAACTAACTAACTAACTAACTAACTAACTAACTAACTAACTAACTAACTAACTAACTAACTAACTAACTAACTAACTAACTAACTAACTAACTAACTAACTAACTAACTAACTAACTAACTAACTAACTAACCATTTAACTAACTAACTAACAAATGCTGGCTGAATGTCTTTCCTATACGTAATACGGTCAAGATTAAAGCTAAAGTGAATGTCCATATGGTTGTTATTTATAATGTAAGCTGATCGAATTATGATCTCATTTAATTTTTTATATTTTGACTCAGGATGCGACTCACTTATGAAACGCCCAATTCAACTATATAACCATATCTTAATCTACTCCTATGGGCACTAGCCAGCCATTCCAGAGGTTGTGGTTTCTTTCTTGGCTGACACATGCACACACACACACACCTAATTTATTAGCCGACAGTAGGACAGGAATAGAGAAAAGACTGTCAGTGAGGCTAGCAACACCACCCAATAGAAAAAAACAACAAAGCCACCACTGAAACCCGGAGACCTGAAGCTCTATGTTCAATTCAAAATGTAAGGGAATGAGAGGGATACTATGAAATTAAACTTTATTGTAGTTAGTATAGTGTCATCTACAGGTGCGAAATCGATTTTTGAAATGTTCTGTATATACATATACAGATACGTTTATTGGAAAAGATATAAAGCCACGTGTAATCACATTTTTCCTATATAATACTGCTGTGAATGTTTATTAGTTCACCAGCAAACGCACAAAAGCCTTCACTTATACACACATACAAAATAAGTTCACAAATAAGAACTCTAACTGTACATGTACTTATCAGGATGCTTTTCAATGCATTTCTGTAAGTTTATGTATAAATAAAGGCAGAAAATTACACTTTCTTTCTGCATATGCAAATAAATGTCAGAAATAATGATATAAATAGAATAAAGTAAGTTAAAATGTTCGCTATGGTAGACTAATAAATTGTTTTATGCCTTAACCTTGATTCAGAATTCATTGTATCACGTTAGTATGTCTGGGCATTACTCTGTTGGACAGATCATTTCTGTGATCATCAATATGTATTAGCTGACATGTGTTCCCTAGACAAAACGATGTCTTAATAGATGTATATATATCTCATTTAAGTGATCTAACAATGAATTTGTTTAATAATAACGACCACACTTTTTATAGTAGTACGTCATCTAAATACTGAAATGTATTAGAGAAGAATGTAGAAAATACCAGAAGGTTGGGATGACGATAAAAGTCAAGCTTGTAGTACACCTGATTCAGGTGTTATCACTGCTGCATTCTAGACATTTCATTAGAATTCCCATGATTAAAGTGAAAGTGAGTCATAACGTTTTATTTGGACAGAATGTGCGCATTTCGATGAAGTAGAAATCCAGAGTAGAATAATTTACGAGACACGGTATTATTGTCTGCTTTACACTAAGTAAATTCTATCATGGTCAGGATTAAACATGTCTTGAGGATGGTTATTCTGGGAAGCCGAGATAAAGAACACAAAATAGGGATTTTGTAAAGTCATCATTTGAGAAATTGTAAAACGTCTTTTCTATTTTGAACAAGACGCACTCTTCATGTGATACTATCTAGCCGACTTGTGCGAAGTGAAAGAGTTCAGATTTGAATCTTGAAACTATTAACCAGGAAATAAGTGATTAACTCGAACTTATGATAGTATTGCATAGTGCTAAGAAAGATCAATTATTAGAACAAAACAAACCTGATAAAAACACTTTTCTGTTGGTTCTTTCCAAACGAAATTCATTGCATAGAAGTTCATCATCAGGATTATATTTCGATACGGTTTCCTGTAGTTTTTTGTTTCTTTTTTCAAGGAGATCTATCCTACACTGCAATCGACTGATTGTCAGATAAAGTCGATCCAACTGATTTTCATCGTTCGATTTCTGACTGATGATTTGGTTAGGCTCCATACTGAAAATAAAATACATTTTTAAAGGTCAAGATAATTGTGAATAAACTTTGATTTAATATCTGAAATGTGTAGCAATTTATTTACTGGACAATTTGTAATAGAAAAACAGATAGCTGTTGTGCCTTCCCGATTCTGACTCTGATATACTCATCCGTGCTTCGTGTAACTGAGAATATACTGGCCAGCTACTTCTCTGCAAGCGATTTTATGACTCTCCGTAGTGGCGAAATTCATACTGGATGGTATGTGTATGTATTCAGACAGAAAAAGTGGTTATGCATTCAGTTTCTAGGAGCTTTATTCATCCTTTCGAGCTATAAGTCTTCTCGATTATTTCCCTTCTGAGAGTAAGATCAATTTCGTTTATGTCTTCGGATTTTCTGGTCGCTATAGAAAGTTGATAGAAGTAAACAGGTGTTTTATATATTTGTTGCACCATTAACCATTGTATTCGTGAGCTTAAATCATGTTGGTTTGCTTTTATGAAATATGGTCTGTTTAAAACGAAATGGCGAATAGAGTGTGCAGTTACAGAGCATGTCAAATTGCATCTTGAAAGCTTTCTATAAATTACTTTTGCACTTAATTCAGTTCAATTCAGATTTTTTGACAAAGCAATTCAGGTTCGGAGAATACCTGAAAGTATGCATGGGCTCTGCTGTATAGATCCAAAAAATAAAGAATCAGATATGAAATTCTACTTCCTTTTCAATGGATCTGCAGACGACTGTCGGTTCTGAATGAAATCTACTCGAAAACCGATTGATTCTCGACAAACCTTATATCCGATTATATAAAACTGACTAACTACTTCACCTAAGTGATCGATATTAGTGTACACTTAGGCTTCCCCAACTATCTTAAATACAAAAATATGACAATAAGTCAAAGGATCAATTAATCTGAGTAGTCTAAATTAACTCACTTCGTAATCGTAGTGTCATTTATTGTACCCAGTGAATTGATTGATTGTGTAGTAGACCTTGTGCGTCTTCTGAACGCTTTAGCTATGGATTTGCCCAACTACAAAAATGGTTAAAAGATTAAAAAAGTGTGCGAGGGTAAGAGATATGGATTCAGTTTGTGGGTTTGAAGTCAGTTATAATGAACTTCTAGATCTAGGATTGGTTGAATTCATCATCAGCAATAATAGGCAAAATACAAAACATCATTCTCAACTTGCATCATAAACTTAAGTGAACTTTTGTCAAAGCTAACAAGTTCGTCATTCAGCCATTTGGGTCTAATGAGCTTCAGTGTTGTGAATACGGCTAATTTACAAATGCCAGCAAGCTTTGCGTTGACTTTATCTTAGTATGGTAATACCAGTTCACAATTCCCTGCAATCACTTTGCTGATCCTATTACACCATTAGTCTTACCTCAGGATTAGAAGAATATGCTTAAATTATTATTTTGTTATTTCATCAGTTGACTTCCCTAATTGACTTAAAATTAGCGACTCAATTTAGACATCAGAGGCCAAACAGTTTTACTGACAGTGTGAATATAAGATGGAAGACGCTTGGATCACAATGACTACATCTCTTTTACGTCTTCAACTCTCGAACGTCAAACACACTATCTTCAAACGCAAAACAAACTGATGAGTACGTCTTCTAGACAAGTTAAATTTTTGCCCATTGACTGCGACACTTGCAGTTAATAAACGTCATGTAGGGTACACTGTATTTCCCTGTAGATGTTTTGAATCATCTGTGTAGCCGAACTTTATAGATAACTTGCAGACAAATGCTCTAGCCAACTAGACTCCTTCCTTCATCTGGTGGCAGAAACTGGCTGTTAAGAACCACTTGTTGAGTCACACTTAAAACTCAAATGAATCACGCACACGCTTATTTTCCCAACACTTTTTCCTATATTTTAAGTGGGTGAGAGTCCTTTACTTCCAAACAACTGGAAATCGTCATCTGTGCGTCTAGGTATAAATAAAAAACAGCTGAAATTCGAACTCACCCATCTGGAATGTTTAGTATAGACTCCATGTTTTTCCAACGTTGAGGTGTTATTCCCAATAGAATGGGAGTAGTTGTCATGTTTCTTTGAGTCTACGGAGATAGTTTGACTGCCGGCACTTGTGTCACTTGCAACGCTACTCAAGCTTACAGCATCTTGATTGTCTGGAAAGTTTTAAATATGAAGAGGCGAAGAGAGATTAAACGGGTTTTATTAAAATATAAGATATTATGCTTTTTTAGAATAATCCATTCATCAACTGATTACTTGTTGCTCATTGATATAAGAGTGATTAGTTTTTTATTTCTCCAATGCTTAGACAGTAATCTGTATTTGGATGTTAAGTGATGGACAAAGTGAAAGTCTGTTTGGCACTGTAAATGCATCATGGCTCTCTCGTTAAATCCCTTAATTCGATGGTGTTCTCGTGAGTACTGAAGCCTTCTTTATTGCACATGGTTCAAAATATTTCGGAATGCTTCTTCATGATAGGTGGAAATCGGTTGTGTAAGTAATAAACATCGGGCAGACGTATGCAGCTCATGTTAGTCTGTAGTGAGAACATGTGACTCACGTCGGTTACTTTTCCAGAAAGATCTACTCAGAGAAGATGTTGAATACAAGGTTTTAATAACTAAGTACTGTGTTTTCCTCTTTCATGTGTAAGTCTCCATGATGAACTGTGGTGCTTTTAGCAACAGACGCATATTAACTGTGGTTGAACATCTACTTTCTAAGAACAGCGACGTATACGCTTATCACAGCAACGATAAATATTCAAAGAATCTAAACCAAAATCTTCTCTGACTATTCTGTAAAAGTTTGAAGTAAACAGAGACTAGTTCAACCGCTTGAAAACGTTCCTGTCAAATGCACTGAATGCATAAAATGAAGTGAGATTGATGGATGGATGGATTGGGGGATGTAAAAAGTGAAGCTTCACCGAAGGAAATTAACTACGATTACTTCTCCTTTATACTTCTGATTTGACCTGCACATGAGGTTCGTCTTATTTTATGCTCTGTTGGTGTTTTACAGTTCACTTCTACATTTCATTGTTGCTTTGATACACGTAACTCAATGGTCACATACTCTGACATGTTATTTATCAGCCTGTGGGCTGTGAATTTAATCTCGTAATCATCCTGAATAGTGAGTGCACTTCTGAAATGTTTATACATTTAACGGAACTACATTTCCAAGTCTAATAGCTTCGAATTAAATAATAATGGAATATAATTAGCTTAAAATTTATAATGAAGCTTTATGAATCCCATTGTGACATTTTTCGGAAGGTGAAGAGTCTGAAAGTTCTCTAAAATGTTCTTTGTACATATTTATCAAGTGTCTTATACCATTAATATAAAGAACAATAAGGTGGTCCCAGAATCCAAACTCACCTTGGTACATAGCATCAGGAAGTGTACGACAAGACATCGATCTTCTTGGACTTGGTTTAAAACTGTTCGGAGAGTTGGCTAAAGACTTGTTGTCCCTATCTTCCTCACGTAAATGATTTATAATGCCTTGAAATTCTTGTATCTCAGAGTTCTGAAAAAGAAATCATAATCAAATAGGCAGACAGTTATAAACGTCAAATACCAAATCAAATGAACGGTTAATGTAAATATTAGAAGAATAAGGATTATTCTGAGCATTCAACAAAAATGGTAACTAGACAGGTGTTGAATATTCGTCATAAAGATAGATATTCTGTTAAAATGATAACTGTCAAGATACTGCGATAACGTAGTACGATAGAACTAATCCTGAAGTTTCAGTTGGGCGCACTTCCTTCGATACGTCATCTATGCTTCAGCTTAGACGTCTTATAACGTCAATGTCGACGTATTTGAATTCCAACGGTTCAATATTCTGTTTTTGAAACCCAGATTTCTGATATATTTGTCATCTTATGGACATGTGCAGCTGTCAGAAATTTAAGGGCAGAATTTAATGTAATTATGGAATATTGCATTTCCTTGTGTGTTGGTGACACAGCGGTTAGGACGCTTGCCGACCATGGACATGCTCCAGGGTTCGATCCCCGGCCGACACACTCCTTTACCTTGCTAAGCCAGCAATAAACCTGGTAAACAGGAAAGGTTCTGCATGAGGCTAGCATCTCCATCCTGTAAAAATAAACACTGCCACCGAAACTTCAAGCCTCTAGCTTGAAGCCCTATTTTCCACTGGGAACGAGAAGGAATAAAATAATAATAATAATACAAATTAATAAAAGAAATACATTGCCTATTAGTTTTACACTACTGAACTTTCAAAGAGGTAACTTTTGGACGTTGTCGTCCTCAATTATAGTGTATTATCACATGCCATTCCATATCATCGTGCCTTATCACTATATATATATATATATATATATATAGTATGTAGTTCAAACTTTATTGTTACCTACCCTTTTTGAAACTCCTGAGAACGGTGTCGGATGTAATTATAACTTATTTAACGAATCTGAAATAATAAGGCATCTGAACGCAATACCAGAAGTCATACAAGGTCTTATGATGAGTGTAAGCTTTACAGGTACAACTTGATAGTAAGAGACAACAGAGATCCATACTGAGATTTTTCGGTGGGTGCGTACTGATCAAGAGTCCCAAACTAGAACGAAACAGATGTCCAGTACTCCCAGGTTTTACAGTGGTTCTCCAACTGATATCAGCTCATAATGAACTCCTCCATCCAATTTTCAGTTTAATTAATTCGGTAATGAAACCAACTGTGACTGGTACACTGAAGGAAGGTAAACATTTCCCATAACGACATTAAGAATAGAACACCTTAAGATTCTGTTCTTGACTCGGAGAAAACGTCACCTTAATATGAGTACTGAAAAGTTTAATGTATCACTGATTTATTTTCAATTTACCTAATTTCTTTTGTATTATTCATTTATTTATCTAACGGTCGATCAGTTAAACAAGTTATCGAGTGTTTATTTCAGTAGGCGCATATGATGCTTGGCAATCTAATGAGTGACTGGGTGAGTTAATTAATAAATGAAAAAGAGCAGAATGACTAATTGAACAACACAAAACTTTGCTCGCATAAGATTCAAGAAAAAAGAGAGATAGTAAAACTATAGTGGACAGAAACGTATGGTAGATAATAGTTGAATGAATATTTGTTGTCGACTTTTATTATGTCGAAGTTAACAAAGCCAGTGCATACGTAGAATCATTAACAATTTTAGGATCTTTTCACAGAAAGCTTCCTACCGATGATTCTTAGCACTACACGAACCGTAGCCGGACAATCTACAATCCTTCACCCGGGTCAAACCAAAAGTTAAAGTCTTCATGGACTAGTGACGCGTTTTGTTCTGATCAATTCAGACTAGTCAGTAGCCTGATCTTATTTCAGCTAACATAATTTTTCATAGATCATGGCTCGACATATGTAACACATATTCTCGCCATCTCCTAGTCTTAAAACATCATCAGCTGACTCCCCATTCTTACCAAAAGCTCTACAACTAACCTGATCACTTCTTATCTTGTTTTTATATCTAACCTAGACAAATGAACAAAACACCTGTGATAAGAAGCTGCCAACACTTTTTGAAATTCTCTTTTCAACAGTCTCGTAAAGTTGGACTCAATGGACTACTTCATGGTAAATACACCTTTTGAATGGTGGCCAGAAATTCATCCTAAACCAAAAAATAAACTAAGTTGGAAAATGATAAATAGCTCTTTATATTCATTTTAACGTTTCGTTAGCAATGAGTGCATTAGGGCTAGTATAACTTCCAAGTTTAGTGAATTCATCAAAGCATTATATCATTTAACTCACTGCCCTCAAACCAGTAGTCAGTACAGACCAGTTCTACAGCATCACTTGGCAGTCTACCAAACAAGGCAAAGGCTATTACTTTCAAACTACACTACTGCTATGTAAAACTTTCCACAGAGAGTTCAGGTATGTATTATTCCTGATATCAAGAAGGAAGATGCAGTAACTCAAAAAGACACTCCTACAAATATATATCAGGGTCACACAAAACGGGTTCATTGTGGTTATCAGGCTTAAATTGAATTTTATATAATAGTATGAATTCTAACCTAATCTTATTGGAGAAAAGAAATTTAGAAATATTCAAAACTTCCAAATGCCCGAATTCGGTTTTATTAAAGTATCATTTTTAACACCTGGTTTCTATTTGTTTCAATCTCAGAGTGCAATAAGTTTTTTGATCTAAAAATAGAGGGTATTAACAGTGGTTTTGTTACAGTCTTTACGACACCTTTCATTCCCGTCCTGACGTCCTTTAGCCCTCCACTAACATTTAAAAAAATATTTTCATGAAAATAACCTTCATAATTTCCGACGTTTTAAGTTGCCCAATTCGATCCGCCTTATTTACCACGGTATCTTTTAAATCTCGAACCATAGTGTCCTGTATAGAAGAGAAAACTTAATATTGAGCACTCAGTGACCATTCAGTACTAGGTTTTCGTAGTAGTGCAACCAGCACTGTGTTTCGATACGCAGAGCTGGTAAGATTTCACCAATCTAACTAATAACTTTGTTGATAAACTGAGTGTCTGAATATTGGAGAAAAAGGGTATAAGAAGCAGATTCTAGGACAGAGAATTAATTTCTTTTGGCGTAAGCAGAGACTTTTTAAATCAACAAATTATTGCAGCAAATTTTGTCATGCAGGTGTCCGTGAATTGTTCATAAAATTTTCCATAGTACTACTTACTACAAGAAACAGTGACGCGCGCATTTCACGTACCGCTTGAAGTCCAGTTAAATGGTGCTTAAAATTCCAATAGTTTCTCCACTGACTAATATACATGATTTATTCTACCCTCACAAATTCACATATATATATTTAACTGACTTATCAATGAAGAGCATTGTGCGTTGTCAGTGCTTACACGTTATAAAACTGTTTACACTAATACATTTCTAGACATACCTTTAATCCACCTCTGTTAATTTCCGCTGTAACCAAATTGGTAAAATTCGAGTCTTACAGAGTACATTATGACAAGGCAAAAGACAGATAGCGGAACAAATTAACTGCACGCACGCTTGAAACTCAATTGAACTACCTTCGAATTTCCATCAGTTCTGATTAAATCATCACCATTCCTTAGGACTCGAGTTCTTTCCAATCCTCTAGATAAGTCGGTCTCACTATTACTCATTTCAAATGAATTTCTTTCTCCTGAAACATTCACAGGTGTATTTGTATCTGGAGAAATTATTTGTCTTCTCTCACTAGAACTCGACTTTTTTAGAGGTATTGGTGAATTCTGCATCGCTGATTTCCGATCTTCTCTGTCTATGCCATTGTTACTATTGAAAGTTGCTGATTTCTGTTTTGCAGACGCTAATTCTTGTCTAACCATGCGTTCTGTTTCTATTAATCGCTTCGGTCGAAGATCATAGTTTGAGGAGCTTGTGTTCTGACCTGTTTCGAGAGATACATTATAATTTGTATCCGTTTCTAGTGTTTTCATACGAACACATGGTGACGGTAATCTTCTAGAACGGGGTACGCTCTTCTGATTTGTCGCAATCTGTAATTTGGACTCATTTAGATTGATGAACACATTATTAGAATCTAACGTCATGAGTGTTTTTTCGTCTTGATTTGAACATGGTAGTGTTTTTTCACGTGAATGCTTACGCAGTGATCTTGACTTATGCTTTATTGGTGAATTTGTCTTTGTTAAAGATGTTGACATCAGATCAGGAAAATGCTGACAGTTTGGAATGATGTTACATCGAACATCATTACGGGAAACTAAGCTCAGATAGTTGATTCCACTTTCGAAAGTTCTAGAGTGGTTGTGATATTCAGCGTTAATTCCCGGTGTTAAGTATTCATTAATTCTAGTAAATGGCAATATAAATGACTGTACAGATCCGGTGAAGACTGAACCAGTTAGATCTTCTTCTTCAGTAGACTTTTCACGGCCTGGAGGGTCTGAATTTTCGCGAGCCCATCTTTGCGAATCTGTTGTCGTCCATTTCGCTAGTTGATTACGTGACATTTTTGTTCTATCCACACTTTGAATTCGTTGCCGAAGCATATTGGATGATGCCGAAGAATTCTGTTGCTCAGTGACTTCATTCATGTTCGTATTTTGTCTTTCGCTACACGAGCTATATTGTTTCTCCTCACTGGAATCATTATCCTTACAGTCATTGTGCAGTTTAGCACTACGCTCTGGTTCAGATCTTGTTAATAGACTCGAAAGCAATGGTTCGTAGTGAGATTTCGTATAAGAATAGAAATTTGGATAAAATCTTTCCATTGTACAGATTATTTTCACTTGAACAGCTCAAAATGCCTCAATGGGATACGGATAATTACGTAATAAATTCCACTTCAGAGATAACTAATTAATTAATGTGACACTCCCTTGATTACTGTTCTTTCAAGTGAGACAGAAAAT